TCTAGATCGTGGTCGGGGGGGGGAACACGCAGATCTGCCCTCACAGAGGAGAGAGAGCTTGTACCTGAATAAAACTTGGTCTTAAAGGTGCCACTGGACTGTTTTGGATTGCTAGCTATGGGGGGGGGGACGCGCAGATCTGCCCTCACAGAGGAGGGAGAGCTTGTACCTGAAGGCGGGCCGGGGGGACGACGACTCTGCAACTTACCTGGCTGCTTCTTGCTCCTCGTGGCCCAACTGAGGGCTGCTGGGAGCAGGGGGTGGGCCTTGTTGCATGTGCCCGCCCCCTGGGCTCCTTACTGCCGGAACTCCGCTCCTATGCTCTCCCGCAGGAAATGACCCCTGCCTGTACCAAAGCCAACATTGTCCTGCCCCAAGTATTTCCACAGCCTGGGCAGAGATACGGGGTTGTCCGTGTGCAGCGTCCCAAAGGGGGATTCCTACCTGGATGACGGCAGGCAGCTCTTTCTGGTAGTAGTGCTCGAGGTGGGCCTTGACAGCCACCAGCATCAGGGCGTACTCGTTCTGGGCCAACAGCAGCTGCTGCGAATTCTCGGCCAGCTGCACAGAGAACTGCAAGGAGGGGGGAAAGACAGTGCCGCACAATCAGCATTCTAAAAAAACCACTCCCTGTGACCCGCCGCCCACCCACTCTTGGGAAGTTTCCTGCCGGCCCTTTTCCCTCCACCCTGCACAGGCTTCGGGACTTTGCAACCCATCTACATTTCCTAACTCGCAGGCAGGCTGGGCCCTCTGACCTTGGCACTGAGCTTCTGCAAGCTGCCCTTGGTGTGAAATATGCCATGGTCGCTCCTCCGGAGCCTGCGGGAAGAAGGATGGGTGTCAGTTCCCAAAGGCTGGGATGCACGGAAGTCTTGGCACTGGAAAGCTCCCTTCAAGTACCCAGGAAACATCAGGCTAAGGATGACAACAGGGATCCCTTGCAGCCCTTGGCCAACTGAGCTTTGGCACTCCCGTCCGGCGGTCCCAGGGAGATGACTCACCTGGCCTCCACGTCAGCAGCCTTCTCCCGGGACACCTCATTGGTCCGCTGCAGCTGCACGTAATGCTTCTTGCTTTTGCCGACTTCCTTCACGGACTCCAGCAGTTCCGCCTGCGTACTCAGCAGCTGCTCAATGCCCTGACAAGGTTGGGGGCAAAACTGTCAGCCTCCTGGCGTGCCCTCCCCCCGGCCACCCACCAGCTGCCATCGCTGGTGTTCAATACCCCGGAAGAGTTTCAGAGCCTTCTTCTCTACTTGGGGACCAGCCCGGCCCACCCCAAGTCATCCCATCCCTGCCCAAGCCAAGAAGTACTACCTTTTTGAGCAGGTGCTCTTTGGACACCCGAGCGGTTTTAGCTGCCTCTGTGCTTACGGTGCGATAGTTATCGGAGGCAGCGACCCGGGCCTGGCCGGAGCAGACGGTGCCATCGATCACCCCCTTCCAGACGGTAAAAACACTCCTGCAGAAAGGCCACAGATGTTACTGGCTCCTGCCCGGCCCTGCATCTGGTCCATGAGCTACAAGGACATCCTCCGGGAGGGTCTTGGGGGGCTTCCCGTGTGCCGCCAGCCATGGCCCTACACTACCCGGCTCTTCCGGGAGATGTGCAGGCGCAATGCCAGTCTCTGATCGACCGCACTGCTACTCACTCCCTGCTCTATGCTCAGCAGAGCCTCTCAAGGAGCTCTTGGGAGTGGTAAACCACTTCCTGAGCTTTCGGCCTTGCAGTCCTCATTTCCAAAGCCCCGATGGGCTCAGCGCTTCTGCTTTATTGCATCTATAAACTACCCCTGGGCTCTCGGAAGTTCAGCTGCCGCAACGTCCACCTCGGGATGGATTCTAAGAAGCCCAACTTGCAGGCTGCATGGAATACCAACACCGCAAGGCAATTGTCGCTGCAGGGGAGCAGTTCTGCTCCGAAGGCCTGGCTGCCTTTGCACTCCCGCCACTCCCCACGCCTTGCTGACCTCTCTCAGTCTCCCGCTTCTGCCGAGCCCCCTCCCCCCAGACCCGTAGCTAGCAACTTTTTGCTGGGGGGCCAATGCTTTGCTCAGGGGGCCAGCCATTATATGTCTGTATGGCTGCCTTTGCACTCCGGCCAATGCTTTGCTCAGGGGGCCAGCCATTATATGTCTGTATGGAGCTATGCATATTCTTTCCTCCCCGCCCCCGACTGTGCTGGTTTGGATGGGGCTGATCGACTAACTGCAAGCCAGTGTACTTCAGAGCTGTGGAGTGCACAGCTGGAATCCTGTGCCTTGTCTCACGCAATGACTTCCCTGCGATCCCATGCAGCCCCCGTTCCACTGACAGGCCTGTAGCTACTGTGGAGCTCAGGGAGGAGAAGCCAAGGCTCAGTTTGGGGGCCCTGGAAGAAATGCTAGGGGGCTGGGCCCCATGGGCCCCACATTAGCTATGGACCTGCCTGTGACACCAGCACCCTTTTCCCCTCCTCCCCACCCCCATTTTTTCCAACTCCCACCTAATAGCACCCCTTGCTCCCAACAAAGATGAGAGGGAAAGTATTTTGGGAGGCTTCTCCTACCCCCCCTCCCCATCTCGCAGTTATGCAGAAATACGCTCATTTTTGACCTGCGGCTTCACCCGATTTTCCCCGCTGTTTCATGAGCCTCAAAAGACAGGATCACAAAACCGCGGGAAAAATCGGGCGAAGCCGTGGGTCAAAATGTGGCCGCGCGGCTCCGAGTGGGAAATTGACCAATGGAAATGGAGCAAAGAGAGGCGCGACGGCGGCGCAGCTCCTTGTGCGAAATCAGCCACAGTCTCTGTTCTGACTCCACAGAATCCAAGGCACTGCACACTCCCCCTCCCCACCATAAGGACACATTTCCCAGGACACGCATGCGAACACCCCACTGCAACTGAGCGCACAGTGATATTGGTGTTTTCTCGGATTTTATTTATGTCACGATTGGTGTTCCTCCCTAGACCTGAGTGTCCCGTTGCCGTTGTGATACTGCTTGTCGCTTTGAAACTGGCACCTCAGAATGTGAACGGGCCGGGTATTCCCTCATACACCAGCTTCCGTTCCTGGGTTAGAGTCGTGCGCACACCCTCTCTCTCTCTTGCTGCTCACGATCCGTTCCAGCTTCCTCCCTGGTGCCTTCCGTTTCTCCACTTTATTAGTCTCACAATCAACATCTGCTGATGCAACGAACATGAAATTGAGCAAACTTCAGAGGACGGCGGAAGACAGGAGGGCCTGGCGGGATCTGGTCCATGGGGTCGCGAAGAGTCGGACTCGACTGTGCGACTGAACAACAACAAAAATCACCAGTTGCCAATTTGTCAAAGTGGGCTCTTGGGCAGGGTTTTCTGTTGGGTGGGTGGGGGAGACTTCTCTTTCTTATAGGCACTCCGTTTCCTGCATGTGAAATATTTTTATTTATTTATTTATTTATTTAGTTTGCGATTTCTATCCTGCCCTACCCAGTGGCTCAGGGCGGCTAACAACATGTTTAAAATAGTAAAACAATAAAACAATTTTACATATGCAATAAAACTGGTGCTTCAAATCTGAACGCACGATGCAGCTATTCCCAGCAGTGGAGTCGGTGGAGTATCCAGCTTAGGAGACCAAGTCATCCCCTGTGCCCAGCTGCGGGGCGTGGCAATCCCTGCACCTTCTCGTCTTCCTCAGGAGGAGAGGATGTGCCCAAACGGACACCATCCGCCTCCCCCTCTTCTGCCAGCACCTTTTTCGAGGGCTGTCCTCTTCGGCAGAGAGGCCAGCAGCGGAGCAGGTCAACCCGGTCAGCCCTGCCCCCCTCCCCCCCCCAAACCGGTCCCCACCTGCAGTCGCTGCTCTCACTCCGGCCCCGCAGCCACTCTCTCTTCAGGAACGGACTCGCCAGTCTCTGGAGCGCCTGGAAAGACACAACCACAGCCACCCCTCCGTGCGCTCAGGAAGATGCTCGTTCTGCCCTCAATGACACCAACAGACCAGAACAAAAACAAAAACCCGGAAGCCAGAGATATTTCTGCTAAACTGTTGACCAGATGACTTAGATAAGAACCACAGATACTTTATTTTACATGTTGTAACAGCAGCCAGAATTGTATTCGCAATGACATGGAGGACAGGGAAGATCCCAACGCTGTATGAGTTGACATTGAAGATTACGGAATGTGCTGAAATGGACAGATCTACAGATACATTAAAAGGAAAAATGGAAAAAGAATTTATGGGACCTTGGAGGGCGTTTTAGGACTGGTTAAAACTGAGAAAATAAGATTAAATGAAGAAGAATAAGAATGATAGATACAGTAGTTGTGAAGTTCTAATGAGAAGCCTTGCATACAGAACGTTAAATTGGATTTTTTAATACATATACTTCTGTACCTTTCCTTTTCCCCTTCTTTCCCCTTTCCCTTTCTCTGTGCATAAACTAGTAACATTTAAAAAAATATATCTGGCACAGAATGTGGGTCCCTGGGAGACTCCATCCCTGATCTCTCCCCCTTCTTCCAGCAGGTTTCTAATCCAGGGGTCCCCAACCCTTTCAAGCCCCCAGGGAACTTTGGAGTTCTGACACAGCGTGCTGGACACAGCCACGCCATGGCTGCTGCAGGAGGTGGAGCCAGCCACGAAATGACTGCCACAGCTTCCCTTCAGCCTCACTGTGAAGAGCCTCATGTTGTGGTGGCAGCTGTTGCCAAAGCAATGTTTCTTTTTATAAATCTGCACAACTCATCAAGTCTTCAATAGCCAAGCCCCACCTGGCTCGACCCACTTTCTCAAAAGCAGGCTCCAGAAAAGGTGTGGGCAGGCACCATGGCGCCCTGTGGTACCATGCTGGGAACCACTGTTCTAATACTCGTTTGTGCAGAACATCAACAGATGCCAGAGTCAGAGTAGTGCCATGAGGCATCTCCCAACACTCCTGGTCCACTGCTTCGAAAAAGAAGGTTCTCTCCTCTCTGGGAAGCCGCACAACTGCTCCTTAGGCAAGCCACACAAGATGCAAGGCATGAAACGTGAAACAGTGGGACTGGGGCACACGGCATGAAAGCATCTTATCCATCAGACACACCATGCACTAAGCAATGATCAAAGCAAAAAGGCTGTTGGGCAGTGAGCCATTGGTGGCGCTTCAGCATCCTGCTCCAGTTCCTTCATGACCAAAGCAAGGTGGGTTGGCACAACTGATTTCCCCACCGTACAGTCATTTATTTCATTTTGCTTGCCTAGCAAGCGCCATGTGGAATCTGAAGTTGCAAAGCAATGGCTCACGGTGTTCGTCTTGACTGTGCTATGCCACCCGGTGGTGTAGCGGTTAAGTGCGTGGACTCTAATCTGGGAGAACCGGGTTTGATTCCCCACTCCTCCACTAACAGTTGCTGGATGACCTTGGGCACGCCATAGTTCTGTCAGAGCTGTTCTCTCAAGAACAGTTCTCGAAAGAGTCAGCCTCGCCTACCTCACAGGGTGTCTGTTGTGGGGAGGGGAAGGAGTTTGTAAGCCGCTCTGAGACTCCGAGTGAAGGGTGGGGTACAAATCAAATCTCTTCTTCTTCTTCTGTTATTATCACCCATGTTTCTGATGTAGACGCACAAACACTTCACCCAGTTACCAGCTGTGTGGCAGGGACAAAACACCCCACTGATCAGCCGCACTTCCACTCCTGCGGCCAAAGACTGCTAGGCCCGCAGCTGGGGTGGATGCACCCTTTTGGGGGCTATGAGCTAGAGGCACACAGTACAGGGATGCCCTATCAAGAGTTCACACAGAAAGACCCCAATCCAAATCTGAACTCTTGCACTCTAAAGACCAGGTCACTGACAACCCAGTATTGTGGGTCAGAGTTAGTTACCAGTTCTGGTGCCAAATGCCTCTTTGAATGCAGGGGAGTTTAGAACTGTGCTGGGGGGGGGGGTTGCCGTGAAAAGCTGACGAAAGCTGCCTTGCTTCACTGCCATCGTCCTCTACACATCCTCTTCCCCTTTACATTGTTGATTAGCACAAGCTCCCGTGCCCTTCGCTTAGAGCCCACGCCAGTCTTTCCTGCTCTTGCTGAAGGCACGGGAGAGGAGTGCCCATCGGTCTCAAGAGAAACCCAGATGGTTGGTTTTAATCTCCAGCCACAAATGCCATGCACCAGGATTTTGAACACTCATAGCACTTAAAATGCCAGGATCAGCCAGAGCAGAGGTGGGGGCCATCAGACCCAGCCAGCTCGCTAAACACCTGACCTCCTCCCCTCCCCATCCCCACAAGCTCCTCCTCTTGAAATTGGATCATGCTGTGAAAAAAAGTTTCATCTTCCTGACTATCTCTGTCTCCAATAAGAAGCAAATGCTTCTATTCGTTAAAGGCACCAAGAACCTCGAAAATGGGAGGGGAGATATGCTAAGAAATAAAGATAGATCTTTAACGCAGTTGCTTTAGCAGGACATTCGTTGACTGGGCAATATTTACCTGTCTTCATTGATTGAGCCATTCCAATGGAAGATAGGCTTGCATGGCAACAGGGGGTTGCCGTGAAAAGCTGACGAAAGCCGCCTTGCTTCACTGCCATCGTCCTCTACACATCCTCTTCCCCTTTACATTGTCGATGAGCACAAGCATGCACGGTGTGTCCCCAGCCCTGCTCCCGTGCCCTTCGCTTAGAGCCCATGCCGGTCTTTCCTGCTCTTGCTGAAGGCATGGAAGAGGAGTGGCCATTGGTCTCAAGAGAAACCCAGATGGTTGGTTTTAATCTCCAGCCACAAATGCCATGCACCAGGATTTTGAATACTCATAGCCAATGTTCCCTCTAAGCCGTAGAGTCTCATGAGCAAAACTTCTACTTTCTGAGCGACTGGCATTAAAGTTGTGAGCGAGCAATTTGGCTGCTGCATAAATCAGTTTGCTTTGGAGCCCTCCTTCCTGAGCTAAGATAAAAATGTCTGAGCCAGAGGCTAAAAAACTGTGAGCTAGCTGACACTAACTCAGCTGCCACTCTTAGGCCAATCGGCCTGACTCCCGCACACGGGAGAATGGGGTCCCAGGCCGTTAAAGCCAAAGCCCAGGTGCCATCAGGAGGTCCACCAGCAGGGCCAGAACTCCAGAAGCCCTCCCACTCTTCCCCCCCCCCCAAGCACCAAGAATACAGAGCATCCCTGCCCCAGATAGAGTATTCTGCCTATACCTTGTGGCTAAGAGCCACTGATGGACCTCTGCTCCATATGTTTATCCATATGTTTAGATGTCCTTGCAGATCCAGTTTTGCAATCAGATACTCAGGGGTGATCTTGGCCCAGAAAGCTTTATCATCGCCTTAGGCTGAAAGAGCAACGGTTACACTTTCTGGAGTAGTCTGACCTGTCTACAGTGAGATCTACCCTAGTGACATCCAGCCCATTTGCTCGAGGAACACACTCTGCCTCGGGCTACACTGGAAAAATTCTCAGGCATTTCTGCTGGTGCAAAAGGCAGTCGGTCACCAGGCTGCCAGCTGCGGCAAACCGCTTTGACTGTATTCCACCAACCTTAACCCAGCTGTTTTGGCTCCTGGGCCCAATCTAAAGTGCTCTTTTGACCTCTAAAACCACGCACCTGTTCAATTCACTTTTTATTTGTTCAGCCATAATGAACTACAAAAAAAAAGATGGTGCTCTACACCCAAGGAGAATGTTACAGTGAAGCAACGGGAGGAATGAAAGGCCTCACAAGACCAAGGCAATAATCCAGCTACAAACATGAAGAATAACTTTGGCATCCCTTTCCGCTACAGCCTTGACACAGTTGGCTACGCTCCGTGTTTTCTCCTCATTCTATTGCTTGCTTGGCAAGGGAGCAGAACGAGTAATAAGAAAACAAAAGAACTCAAAGGACACGATCTCGCAGTCGATTTTCATTTTCCCTCAAATGCCAATTTGTTAAGGAAACGGCAAAGACACATTTAACAGACCACACACTGAAGTCTGGCTGAATGAATAACATGTTGTCTCCTATCGCCAGTCATTACAAAGATGAAAACATCAAAAGTAGCACAGGTGAGATTACTATCAGAAAGCCAGTGTGGTGTAACAGCTAGAGTGTCAGGCTAAGACCCGGGAGGCCCAGGTTCAAATCCCCACACTGCCATGGGAACTTGCTGGGTGACCTTGGGCCAGTCACGCACTCTCAGCCTAGCCTCCCTCGCAGGGCTGCTGTGAGCATAAAATGAAGAAGGGGAGGACTGCGCAAGCTACTTTGGATCCCCGTTGAGGAGAAAGGCAGAGTTATCAATTAAGTAACCAGTTTGGTGTAGTGGTTAAGTGTGTGGACTCTAATCTGGGGGAACCGGGTTCGATTCCCCACTCCCCATAGTTCTGATAAGAGCTGTTCTTGAAAAAGAGCAGTTTCTGCCAGAGCTCTCTCAGCCGCACCTACCTCACAGGCAATGTTCCCTCTAAGCTGAGTTAGTGTGAGCTAGCTCACAGTTTTTTAGCCTCCCGCTCACACATTTTTGTCTTGGCTCAGGAAGGATGGCTCCAGAGCAAACTAATTTATGCAGTAGCCAAATCGCCCACTCACAGCTTTAATGCCGGTAGCTCACAAAGTAGAATTTTTGCTCACAAGACTGCGCGGCTTAGAGGGAACATTGCTCACAGGGTGTCTGTTGTGGGAAGGGGAAGGGAAAGGAGTTTGTAAGCTGCTCTGAGACTCCCTTGGGTAGTGAAGGCCGGGGTATAAATCCAATCTCCTCCTCCTCCTCCCCCTCCTCCTCCTTCTTCTGCATTATCATCTGCAATTTCATGAATTGTTTACACAATCTCTCTCCTGCAGAACATGTTTTGCTGCCAAGGTATATAAAGCCTCCTTGTCGTTCAAACCGGCAGCAAGGAGAAATTTCATTTTCTGTTGATCTGATCAAGAAAAAACCTCCAATGCACTGTTTACAGTATCCGTATCTTATTTCTTTATAAAGAGGCCAGCTCAGCAATTAATGGGCTAAATAAAACCCATCCTAAATAGTTCAGATTGAAGGTAAAAGAAGAAGGTAAGAGAAGAAGGGGACGGCAAAGGATGAGATGGTTAGACAGTGTTATCGATGTAACGAACGTGAAATTAAGCAAACTCCGGAGCATGGCGGAAGACAGGAGGGCCTGGCGTGATGTGGTCCACGGGGTCGCGGAGAGTCGGACTCGACTGTGCGACTGAACAACAACTAACAAACAGTTTGGAACCAAGATACATGCCTGCTCCCGTGGCCTTGGGTCATTGGGAAAGGCCTTGCTTCTTGGGCTTCTCCCGTCAGCAACTCATCACGCGGCCTCAGAGACGGCCTGTTCAAAGGCAGCAAGGGAAGTAGGGCATATCCCCTTCCCTTGCACGCAATGTCTGGCACCATCCCTACTCTTAGGGAAACAGAACAGTTCTTTCATATTGTACTTTTCAGTTAATTGACGTGGGTTGGTGATTATTGCTGTTGCATGGATGATGGTTTTGGATTCTCTTTACCAGGTGTCATTTCCTGCAGGAGCGCACAGGAGCGGAGCTCCGGCAGTAAAGAGCCCAGGGGGTGGGCACATGCAACAAGCCCCACCCCCGGCTCCCAGCAGCCCTCAGTCAGAGCAAGAAGCAGCCAGGTAAGTTGCAGACCCCCCCCCGCCCCAAAACAGTCCAGTGGCACCTTTAAGACCAAGTTTTATTCAGGTACAAGCTCTCCCTCCTCTGCAAGGACAGATCTGCACGTCCCCCCCCCCCATAGCTAGCAATCCAAAACAGTCCAGTGGAGCCTGAGTGGTGGGTGTTGCCTTCTGACACACTTCCGGTGATGTCAGGGTGTGTGGCATATGCAAACAAGTTATGCTAATGAGTTACGCTAATGAGCTCCTGCACCTCTTTTCCTACGAAATGACCCCTGCTCTTTACTTATTTAGATATACTGTCTTTACTTATACCCCGCCCTTCTCCCCAGCGGGGAACCCAAGGCCGATTACATTGTTCTCCACTCTTGCATTTTAGGTTTGAGGTAGGTTAGGCTGAATGTGAGCAACTGGCCTGAGGTCACCCAGTGAGCTTTCATGGCAGTGGGGACCTGAACCTGGGTCTCCCAGATCCGAATCCAGCACTCTAACCACTGCACATGCTGGCTCTCATGTTGACCACTGTTGAGGTCTCTACTGTATTTTGTGTCCTTTGATTGCTGGGTTATTCCGGTGTAAAGATTTGTTTTTTTGCTGGATTAGTCTGGTGTAAAGATTGTTTCATTTTCCTTAGCTGCACTTTTTATTCTTCTAGTTGTATTTCGTAATTTAGTGGCATTCAAAGCAGTGTTCCCTCTAAGCTGAGTCGGTGTGAGCTAGCTCACAGTTCTTTAGCCTCTGGCTCACACGTTTTTGTCTTAGCTCAGGAAGGAGGGCTCCAGAGCAAACTATTTAATGCAGTAGCCAAAATCACTCGCTCACAACTTTAATGACAGTAGCTCACAAAGTAGCATTTTTGCTCACAAGACTTCACAGCTTAGAGGGAGCATTGATTCGAAGCATTTTTACTGAATAACAGGGTTCACTTTTTTATATAAAAAAAGATGAGTTGACTTTGCCCGTAAGGGCCACTAAGATGCTTAGATGTGTTTGTGTGCGATGTTATATTGAAGGACTTAGATGGCAAAGAATTTAAACATGCTGTTCCCTGGCTGCAAAAAACCCCCCTTTAACATGAACATATGAACTGGCCCTCAAAGATACACCCATCTTTCACACCCAGGTCTGAGCCTGCAAAAATGATATATGTCTAGCAGGGCCCGAAACTCAGGCTAGTCCGATGATGCTTATGCAACACTGAGATGCAACGATTCAGGCGGGTAGCCATGTTGGTCTGACACAACAGAGCACAATGGCACCTTTAAGACCAGCAAAGTTTAATTCTGGGGATCAGCCCCCGTGTGCAGGCACACTTCTTCAGACACTGAGATGCAAAGCAGCAGCAGAGGCCAGTGCTGGTGAAGGACTCACATGCATCAGGACTGAATGGAACCGAAGGAAGATGTGGCACAAACCAGCAGCAAAGCAAACAAATGGGTGAGAGGAAAGAATGCGACGAGGGCTCACCTGCAATCCCAGGTTGGGACTTCAAAGGATGAGGGTTCAGCAGGGGCAGCCGAGTGAAGCCCTCTATTTGTGCAGGGTCCAGACGCAAGCAAGAGAGAATGGGAGATTAGGCAGGAGCGGGAGGACTGCAGGGGTAAGCATGCCGTCAGCAACCCCTAGCAACGTAAGGGATGCTAAGAAGCCTTTTGAGTGGCGGCGGCAGTGGCTGCTGAGGAAAGCCCTCCTCATCCGCCACCCTGTGTTCCTAGAGCTCAGGGCAAAGTCAACAGTTCTCTCCAAAACGGAATACAGGTGTGAGGTCCACAGTCAGTGCTCCTGCTGAGCGGAAACCCCCATCTTATTACAACACCCTTTTAAGGTTCTTATTGCAAAGATCCAGGTGGAGCTGACTTGACCTACCCTTTCCCACGAGGAATCTCTCTGACCCCCAGGCTTTTTTTAAAAATTCATTTTTTTTGTACATTTCTCATACACATATTACTGTTTTATCATTTATACATATATTTTCAGAGTCTAATATTTTCCCCAACCCAATTATACAATCCTGCCCATCTTTCAACAAACTCCTCATCATATTTCCCTTGTAATGTCAAGTTAAGTTTATCAACTTCAGCTACCTCTAACAGTTTACCTATTACTTCATCTATTCTGGGTGTATTGTCTAATTTCCAATATTTGGCCCATAGTATTTTCGGTGCTGTAATTACGTAGGATAATACATATTTTTCATTCATATTAAGTGATTCCGGCATTATGTTGAGTAGGGATATTTCAGGCACCAAATCCGTTTTCACCATCAAAATTTCCTCTATGATTTTCTGTATAGATTTCCAGTACTTCTACGTTTTTGTACAACGCCACCACATGTGGTAGAATTACAACACCCTTTTAAGGTCCTTAATGCAAAGATCCAGGTGGAGCTGACTTCACCTAGCCTTTCCCACGAGGAATCTCTCTGACCCCCAGGCTTAAACAACTTGCATTTTAGGTCTGAGTCACTGCCTGGGCAAATCTGACCTCATATTAACCTTCTGGCAACTGTAATACTGTGGCCAAGTGTGCTAGTGGCAGCGGGGGGGGGGGGATCATTTGCTTCAGAAAGATAAGCGGGGAGCTGGAACAGGCATGGGAATCCTCACCTGTTTCCATCGCTTGACACACCTGTTCAGGGGCCTACATCAAGGACAACGGGTTGAGACTTCTCTTGCTTAAAGCCTCATTTGTAGCCACTGCTGTTTTCCCTGTTCTGGTTAGTCAAACACCACCGGAGTGGAAAATACACACATCTCAAAAGAACAAGTCGCTGAGAAATCTCGTCTGTCCTCACCTGCCCATACTCCCTCTCGATGGCAGATCGCTGTTTGCTGTAGGACCTGCAAGGAGAAAAAGACAAAGACTCTGAGCAAGGCCTGAAAACCCGCTGGCACATTCAGGGTCCGGTGGTCTATCCTGTGAAAGGCAGGGTTTCTGTTCACCCTAGAAGTCTCTCACGCAGGCCTCAGAGCAATGTGTGCATATGTGGGGGGCGGGGGGACACCTTCTTTCTCCAGTGGAGTTCATGATGGCATGAGGGCTGTGACTCAACAGCAGTGCCCAAGCTTTGCACCTAGAGGGTCATGAGTTCAAGTCCTGACATCTCCTGTTAATAAGGGTGGCAGGGCTGGGAAAGCAGTCTCCATGAGGCTCTAGACTGACAGGACGACATGGGGCAACCCTCCACCCACTCCCATGATTGACAGCATTCTAACTGCAGGAGGCTACGAAGTTAGGGGACATGCACCACGACAAGGTAAGCTTCCCTGGGCATCCCCAAAGGGTTCGACAACAGATGCCAAACCACCATCTTCCGAGGACATGGTGATGCTCACACCCACACACACACCCACGCAGCTGAAAGCCTCCTGGTTCCCGAAGTCTTCAGCTCCTAACATCAGAAGGTGGGTGCCTGGGTGAGTCGGAGACAGAATGAAGACTTCCCAAAGCAAGAAGTCTTCAATTTAGGGATGCCAACCTCCAGGTGGGACCTGGGGATCCCCTGGAGTTACAGTTCATCTCTACACTACAGAGATCAGTTTCCCTGGAGGAAATGGCTGCTTTGGAGGGTGGACTCTATGGCACTGTACCCCACTGAGGTCCCTGCCCTCCCCAGGCTCCACCCCCAAATCTTCAGGAGTTCCTCAACCTAGATCTGGCAACTCTACCTCCCCCAACCTCCCCTCCCCCGCTGGTGGCCAGAGGGGGACCTAGCAGCAATGCTCCCTCTAAGCCCACCTCACAGGGTGTCTGTTGTGGGGAGGGGAAGGGAAAGGAGTTTGTAAGCCACTCTGAGACTCCAAGTGAAGGGCAGGGTATAAATCCAATCTCTTCTTTTTCTTCCTTCTTCTAAGCTGTGGAGTCCTGTGAGCAAAAATTCTATTTTGTAAGCTACTGGCATTAAAGTTGTGAGAGAGTGATTTGGCTACTGCATAAATTCAGTCTGCTCTGGAACCATCCCTCCCGGAGCTAAGACATAAAAGTGTGACCCGGAGGCTAAAAAACTGTGAGCCAGCTCACGCTAACGCAGCTTAGAGGGAAATCTGCCTGGCAGCCCTATTTCAATTGCATGTGAGAGGAGAGCAAGGAGGAAAGAAAATTGTCTGGCTGGGGAGCAACCCCATTTGTGCCTGTGCTGGCGATGCCTGTGTAAAGTCAACGACTGGGTCCATTTCTGCCTTGGGCTGTCCCTGCAAGCCCCTTCTAAAGGTAAAGGTTCCCTTGCTCGAAAGCCAGTAGAATCCGACTCTAGGGTTGCGGTGCTCATCTCCGTTTCAAAGCCGAAGAGCCAGCGCTGTCCGAAGACGTTTCTGTAGTCATGTGGCCGGCATGACTAAACACCAAGGCGCACGGAACGCTGTTACCTTCCCACCGAAGTGGTACCTATTTATCTACTTGCAATTTCTTGCTTTCGAACTGCTAGGTTGGCAGGAGCTGGACCTAGAGACAGCAGCTCACTCCGTCATGCGGCACCCTCGGGTCTCGAACTGCTGAACTACTGACCTTCCAGAGACTGCAGTTCAGCATCTTAACCACTTGAGCCACCGCAGCTCCTAAGCCCCTTCTACCCAGCTCCAATCTGCTTCGCCTCTGAAGAGACAAAGCTAACTCTGCTGGGCTATTGAAAATATTCCCAAAGGACCACAGGGAGGCCAGTTTCAGGTCAGAAGGGTGGGGGTAGAGAAAGCCTGCACAGTACAGCAATAACACGGTCCTTCAATTTTTCTCTTTAAAAAAACCAGACTCTGGAGCTGTGACCTTAAGGGAACTAAGCCCCTTCTACCCAGCTCCAATCTGCTTCACCTCTGAAGAGACAAAGCTAACTCTGCTGGGCTATTGAAAATATTCCCAAAGGACCACAGGGAGGCCAGTTTCAGGTCGGAAGGGTGGGGGTAGAGAAAGCCTGCATATTACAGCAATAACACGGTCCTTCCGTTTTTCTCTTTAAAAAAAACAGACTCTGGAGCTGTGACCTTAAGGGAAACTGCCACCCACCAACCTGCATTTACTGTCACTGGGAGAGAAAAAAAATAGCTGTAAATTTTCCATCGTGTGGCCAGATACAGGTTGCCCCCACCCCCGCAGAATTTCAGGAGGGAAACAATCCAAACGGAAATGGTTGAACTAGCGCACACACACCTAAGTCTCTTACTTAAAACCAGGGCTCTTTTTGTAGAAAAAGCCCAGCAGGAACTTATTAGCATAATAGGCCACACCCAACAGCAGAAACTCATTAGCATATTAGGCCACACCCCTGACAGCACCGCTCTTTAGCACATTAGGCTGCACCCCCATGTTACCAGAAGTGTGGTTATCCAGCCATACCCACTTTTTGCTTCTTATTCTCTTTACCTTGTTTGTGGTCCAAACCCAGGGCCTTTTTTTGGAGCAGGAACTCCTTTGCATGTTAGGCCACACACCCCTAACGTAGCCAATCCTAATGAGTTCCTGCTGTTGGGTGTGGCCTATTATGCTAATGAGTTCCTGCTGGGCGTGGCCAACTTGGGAGCCAGCCGGAACTCCGTTCCTGCCCAAAAATAGCCCAGCTTAAAACCACAGCCTCAGTAATGACACTCTGTAAAAAGCAAAAGGGGGAAAGATCATGCCATGTGTAGTTCCACTGTAATGGATGGATGGACTGGATGGAGGCGAATGGGTGCCTTACAAACAAGCCTTCTTTCAATATGGCCTCTTGGGGGAGAAACTGCAGGTCTTGGGGAGACACGGCAAAGGGCGCTGCCCGTCCCGGCCGCTTTGGGCTCCAGAGGAGGGAAAGCTTTCACCCACCTCCGGAAGTCCTGTGCTGTTTGTTTAGTGAGAGAGGGAGAGGAAAGCCTTGGGGCCGAGCCAAAACGTCCTCCTGACCACAGACATCCTGGCAGGGCTCCCCCCCCCCTGGAGTCCAGTGGACACGGCCTGGTGTGTATGCGCCTGTGTTGGCCTCTGCCTCCCCGCCGTGCCGCTGACCTGAAAGGGCTCCCGGGGAGCAAGGCACTGTTAGGAGAGAAGCTGGGCAACAACCCCTTTGTTCCAAGGGTCACTTCAGGTTGGGAAAAGAGATTAAACCCAGCCAGTTCCTCAGGCAGGGCGCTGAGGGCACTGACGGGCTCGGCTGGCCTTGGCCTCCTGGGTCCACTGCCTGGTCTTCCTCCTACCCAGCGGGCTCCGCTTGTTGTTACCTGATGTCCTCCAGGAGTTCCAGCTCCCGCTGCTGCTTGCTCTGCAGGCTGGACAGTTGCTCCACAAAGCGCACCTTCACCTCCTGGATGGGCTTAATCTGCCGAGAGAAGAGATTTGGCAGCCTCTGGTCATCAAGGGGCCCTCAAACCTACAGCACCGTCAAGCCCCCAGCAACAGACTGGGAAGAAACCCAGGGATCCCCCTAGTGTGGGCAGCAGGAGGACTACAGCAAGAGCAATTCCCCCCCCACGGAGGGGTGTGCAGGGGGGTGTACACTGGATGGAGTCCTGGCAGGCCCCACGCAGTGGCCGCCTGTGCCAGCATTAGGGGGCTGATGGGCAGCAAACCCAGCTCCTTCTCCACCGGAGCAACAGCAGCTCAGGGTGGAGTTATGAACTGGGAAGTCCCAGGTTCGAATCTACCCCTGCCAGGATCTCCCAGGCAGAACACACAGTCTCTTTCGCCTCTAGTTGCTGGGGGGGGGGGATGGAGAGATTTTATCCTGGACTGGAAGAGAGAGAGCGCGCTGGCTCCGGAGGTCGCGAACAGTGTTCCCTCTAAGCTGAGTTAGTGTGAGCTAGCTCACAGTTTTTTAGCTTGCGGCTCACACATTTTTGTCTTAGCTCAGGAAGGAGGGCTCCAGAGCAAACCGATTTATTCAGTAGCCAAATCGCTTGCTCACAACTTTAATGCCAGTAGTTCACAATGTGGAATTTTTGCTCACAAGATTCCACAGCTTAGAGGGAACATTGGTCTCGAAACAGGACGGGAAACGACGACGGGCCCCGCACACCCAGCTCCCCTTCTCTCAGCCCTCCCACCCCGCGGAGAGACCAGCCCCGTCGGAAGAAGCGCAGCCGCGAGCGAGCCAGGGAAGGGCCGGCGGGCAGGTGGAGGGCAGCGGAGGCGCCCCGCCAGCCAGACCCGTTGGGGGGGAGGGGCTTACCTTGTGGGGCAGCGGCTTGCCCGGGCCCGCCTCCCCCTGGCTGCTCCACCGCCCTCCGGGAGGAGTCGCTCGAGGGCGCCGGCCCCTTCCCACCAGGCGCCCGGCACCGGCTCTGCTCCTGCGCCCGGCCGGGTTGTGGGCCGCCGCCGCCACCCTGGGGTTCGAGGGCACGAGAGCGGCTGGCTGCGCTCGCCAGTTCCTTGCAAGCCGATCTAGAGGGAGTTCTTCTGTGCGCTTCCCGCGGGTCGGGGTAAAAAGAGGTAGATCATGAGTTTAAACGGATCCTCATGAATATAACACAATAAAACAGACCTCCAATCAGATTGTCGATCATCTTGGTCTAAAGGCAGCACAATAAAAACCGCAGTTTTGTGGCACGTGGAGCCAAGGGACAGATCCTGATTTTTTTAAAATGTGGGATCAGGCAAAAGTCACCGTCAAATTACTCATCACATGATCCAGTGTTCCCTCTAAGCTGACTTAGTGTGAGCTAGCTCAGAGTTTTTTTAGCCTCCGGCTCACACGTTTTTGTCCTGGCTCAGGAAGGAGGGCTCCAGAGCAAACTAATTCATGCGGCAGCCAGATCGCTCGCTCACAACTTTAATGCCAGGAGCTCACAAAGGAGAATTTTTGCTCACAAGACTCCACAGCTTAGAGGGAACATTGAACTACAGAAATCACAGATCCCTCACGTTGGGGCACCGACATTGCGCAAAAGCATGGATCCTCATGAATTTGGGATGATGACCCAAAACTCATGTCAAATCAGATATCATGTCCATGGCCACAGACTGCACCACAAAAATCACAGTTCCACTGCTTCATGATGCCACCATGGTGCAAGAAAAGATGGATCTTCATGGATCCTCCTGATTGTTACATGGGGTCACCCAAAACTCATTTATGTCGCCCCTGACCACAAACCAAATCACAAAAATCATGGGTCCACTACTTGGGTGTGCCACCGTAGTGCAGAAACATGGTTTTAAAGTACAAATCTTCAGGATTTTTACATTTGGTCACCAAAAACTCACCATCAAATCACTCATTCCTAGTCACCACAAAATCGTGGATCCACCACAAAAGCATGGATTCAAGGCATGGATCCTCGCGGATCTTAATGATTTTTATATTTGATTATTCGAAATTCACCATCCCAGTCTAAACTCTTTTGGAAAACATAGATTTATAACAGGTGACACCGCCTCCCCCATAAGGGAAGCATTGGGAAGGTGGGTCTCTTTGCCTGTTCCAAAGCAATGCTCTCTAACTGAAGAGAAGTCAGAAGGTTATTTCTTTTCTTTCTGGGTGTCAAGTGAAAACCTTGAGTCCCAGCCAAAGATCACTCCTGTTTATCTTTTAAGATTTCTGTTTAAAATCAGTCTTATGATACTTGGAACGAGTAAACATGAAAAGATCACAATGATACAAACTATTCTTGTATATGTAAATGAAATCAGAAACAGATATACACACATATCATTCCTTATCCCTTATCCTACTTAAAGATTACAAGATAAAATACAATTTCTGAGATTCAGAAGGATTAGATAATCTCACGCAAACAACATTCAGGGGTGTTTTGGATTATATAGGCCCAATTATGTGAAACCCGCATAAGCATACGAAAACCTTCCAAGTTGTCACTTCTGATGGTTTGAGGTAAACACTTCTCTGAGCTCAGAAGAAATTTCCCATGGAAATATATATATATATCAAAATTGTGTACTATTAGACCAGCTTGTTCAGAAATTTTTCTGGGCATCAGTCCATCTGTTTAAAGTATCTCTTCTTCCCTAAGATGGGACATTGAGTACACAGCTGAGAAAGTAAAACTAGTATGTTTTGCAAATCTGAAAACTAAACTAAACTGTGAGGGCTGCTTTTTGTTCAATCAGTGCCTCTAGCTGACAAGTGTCTGTGACAGAGCCTTAAAGTTTTAACTTGTTTTTCTCGAACATCCACCCTAAATCCGCACATCACATGGATGCCCACGGATTGCAATAGGAAAAAAACCACAGATCTGGTGCTTTGTGGTAACACCATGGCAGAAAAGCATAGATCCAATGTGCAGATCTTTGTGATTTTTGCATGGATTCTAGCAAATATGACTGTGAAATCTAAGTTCATATCTATGTCCATGTATTGTACCATTAAAAAAACCCTCCAAAATCCAACATTGTGTCATTGCCTTGGCACAGGCCCGTAGCTACTGGGGGCCCCGCGGGGCCCAGCCCCCACATGGTTTTTACGGGCACCTCCCCCTTGGTGGGGTGGGCTTACCTACCACCAGGAGCCCACAGGAGGAGCAGCAGGAGCCACAGGCCCCCCTGCCAAGTCCCCCATTCCTGGTGCCTTCGCCAAGGCAGGAGAAGTCCACTGCAAAGGGAGGTCCAGGCACCTATAGGAGCAACAGCGGGGGTTGGGCAGAGGCGCCAGAGTCCGACGGAGCCCAGTCCTGGCTCTTCAGAGGGGGATGGAAGAGGACGGGCCGAGGCGGCCAATGGGAAAAGGCCCCAGGTGCTGACCCAGCGGTTGCCGAGTAGAAGAGCCCCAGAATTCCACCGGAGCGGCAGAGAGACAGAGACCAGAAAATCAGTCCAACTCCAGTAGTGTCTCGTTTCTCATGCTGCTCCTTAGATCCCCCCCCCCCACTCTGCATCCCAGCCGGGGGTTCACAATGGCTGCATTTCGCCCCCTCCATCTGGATGGAACCCCCTTGTGCCAAAGAAGGCCCCCCGGAAACACCCCCCGCAGGACGACGAGGTAGCTGGGTTAGGGTGAGCTAGCTCACAGTTTTTTAGCCTCCGGCTCATACGTTTCTGTCTTAGCTCAGGAAGGACAGCTCCAGAGCAAACTAATTTATGCAGCAGCTAAATTGCTCGCTCACAACTTTAATGCAAGTATTATTCTTTATTCTTTATTGTATTTATTATTTAATATTTCATTATTTAGAAGTATGAACATGGCATGGCAGTACCGCACAGACATATAATGGCAGCCCCCCCCCCAAAAAAAATTGGCCCCCTGAGCAAAACGTTGTT